GCGAGGCCCCAGCACTTCCTGGGTGTTTTGCTGGTCCTTTTCCAACTGCAGTGCCCTGGTGAGGGTGGGGGGACACGTTTAGTCCCCCCACTCTTGCAGGATGAAGGCTGGGAGCTTCTTCGCTCTCAGCACTGCAGGGGAAAAATGAGGGGCTCTTGCGGTTCTTGCAGCGCCCCATCCCAGGCGTTCGGCTCTTGTGTTTTCCCACGTGCCCCATGTGTGGGGTGGGTGTCACTGGGGGGTTCCCCACTATTGGGTGCTGGGGTGGCCCCACTGGGGAGGGAAGTGCCACCACACCCCCCTGGTGAGCGCGCTCCGGCGAAGGAAGCGGATGCTGTGGTGGGAGGAGGGAACGTCCTGTGGGTGCCGCAGGTGCTGTCCCGGGGAGCCCTGACCGGGGACCTGCCTCGTTTTGTCACCCAGAGCCCCGGAGAAGGAGCAGGGAGGGGCGACACCAGCGTGACTGGGGAGAGGGGGACAGCTCCTGCGCCCACGCTGGCTCTGCCGTCACGGGGGGCTGTGAGTGGAACTCGTGCCTGCAGGGTCTGTCCGGGGTGTTTGGGCCTGGCCTGGTCCCCCTGTGCCTGTGCCATGGGGGTGTCAGGGTGCAGGACCAGTTCCCGGCACCGTGACCTTCGGCCGCCCGCTCTGACCTCTGCGGTCCTGCCTTGGTGGCTGCCTGGGAAGCTCTCGGTCCCGAGGGTGACAATCCTGCCTGGGATGGCCCCTGCCCCTGCAGATCACGTGGTTTGTCACGGTGAGTCACTGTGCTGGCTCCTGCCGCCGGAGGAGGTGACAACACCCCGGTGTCCCCTCTGGGTGCCCTCCTGGGGTGCCCAGCGCGGGAAGGGTTAAGGAGGGAAAGCTTCCCTTGCCAGGGGTGTTGCTGGGAACAAACAGGAGGAGAGGCTGCCATCTGCACATTGCGATTTGGTGAGTGTGCAGGGGAGGGGCCCCACTTGGCCCCTGGGGTACTGGGGGCCCCTGTTTCCCGGGGAGAGGTGGGGGCTCCGCTGTGGCACTGGGTGGGAGGTGGGGGGCCCTCAAAATCCCCCAAGAGTTGGTGCTGCCGTGGTCTGACCGTCTGCTCCTGGTGTCCATGTCCCTCCAGCGTGGGAGATGGACCTGACTCAGCCCCAGCGGGCACCAGGGTGGGGGTCGTGCCCTCCCCGTGCCCCCCACACCTTTGTGAGCAGCGTGCCCAAGGGTTTCACCTGTTGAAACCCCACAGGTGTGCTGTGCAAAGGTGCCAGCACAGAACCCCCCCAGTGCAGGGAGCCCCACACGTCCCCTGGCGTGTCCCTCCCCGCTGCAGCGGGCGTCTCTTCCCCTCCCAAAACACCTTCCACTGATGGCAGCACCTAACCTGTCTCTCCCAGTGATGTTCTCAGCAAATGCAGCCCTTCCAGCGTTGCTCCCACGTGGGACTGTGGCTCCCAGCAGCCCACGGTGGGGGCTGAGTGCTGCTGGGGTCCAGGAGGTGGGAAGGAGATCCAGGAGAGCTGTGCAGTTTCTCGTGGGACATCTCCTAGAGAGCAGGCAGGGAATGGTGGTTTAGGCCCATTTTCCTCCTTTAATTGGCTGTTTTGGCTTTTGGAACCCATGTGTCCCTCTGGAGAGCGGGTCTGTCCATGCTGTGTGCTCTGGGGCTCAGTGCAGCCTCTCTCATTCCACTGGGGATGCAGCTCAGCTTTTTAATTCCCAAAGAGAAAAATCTGAAACCCAAGCCAAGAAGGGTAATTTTGGGGGAGTTGAGGTTTTTTTTTTCTTTCCATCCCCACTTGGCAACATAAACAGCATCCCTGACAGCTTTACATTGAGTTTGCCATGGCAACCTACAGCAGCCAAGTGTTTGCAACACCCCATTCCCAAAGTGGGAGAGGAGATGAACCCCAGTGGGTGCTGCTGAAGGGCAGGGTATGGGGCTGGGGTGCTGGTGGCATGGGGCAGGTGCTTGGGGAAGGTGATCCACCGTGATCCACGTGGCCTGAGGTTTGCTCATGGGCCTGATCTTGCTTGTCCAAGCTGGGGTTCGTGGCTCTGGGCAGGGCATGTGGTGGCTGCTCTCGCTCTTCCTCAGCACGGTGCTTTCTGCCCTGGGTGGTGGGAGGGGAGCTGAGCTGGGGCACGGATTTCACCTTCATGGATAAAGGAAAACAACCAGCTGATCTTGGTCAGGGCTTGCTCCATCTCTGGTTGTCTGCAGGGAGCAGGAGCAGTGCTGGGGTCTGCTCCGATGTGCTGAGCTGGGAGGATCCATGGCCTTGTCCAGGGACCCAGTGATGTGGCTGCTGCTGGTGTGTGCCAGCTGCCAGTGCCATCGGTGTCACAGCGAGGCCATCGTGGCTTGGCTGAAGGCATCACGTGTGGCACGTCCGGCTGATTTAATTTTCCTTGTCCCTCTCCGAGCGTTTTCCTCTTCCCAAGCTCAAGAGCCAGCGGGTCCCTTTCCCTGTGCCAGGGGCCGGGGTTGGGCACGGGGGATGCTCTGGTGCTGGCTCTGGCCGTGGCTGCTCTCCCTGCCAGGACGGAGGTGTCGTGCAGCCGTTTATTATTCCGGGCAGGTTCGCCTGCAGCACGGCACCGGCTCCGGCATCGGCTCCGCCGCTCCTCGCCAGCCGCTCCCTCCTGCCCGGAGCACGCGCCTCCCCCGGCCCACCCCCTGGATCCAGACAGCCCCTGTCCCTCACCCCAAACTCCACAGCAGCCCTTTTTCTCCCCAGGGATGTCCTCTGGGAGCTGACGCAGCTCCGGTGGTGGCTCTGGGGGTCCCGTGGTGTCCGCACAGGGCGCTCCGGCTCCCGCTCCGGCTCTCCCACCTGGGCCTTGTTTTCTTCCCAAAGTGGCCCTCGGGGAGCACTTGTTCCTCTCCAGTGCCTGGGGGCTCTGGAAATGAATTACTGGAGTGAAGGGCAGCCTGCTGAACGCTGCTGGAGTCATTAGGAGCTCGTTAGGATGATGGCTCTCAGGGAAGCCTGAGTGCAGTCCAGAGGAGCCTTCCCGGTTTGGCCAAGGAACAGGAGCCTGTGCTGGACTGGTGGGAGGGGGCAGAGACAGGCCAGGAACAGTCTGTGACCCCAGATGGGCTGGAGGAGGGCGCTCAGAGCAGACACAGGAGTCTTTCCCAACCACAGCCCCTCCTTTCCTGACAGGCAGAGCCAGTCCCAGGGCCGGAGCCGCATGGTGGGACATGGGCTGGTGCTGATGGTGCCCTGAGCTCCTCCAGGGGTAATTATGGACTAGGCCGTTATAGGATTAATTAACTGTCTTTCTCTTAACCTCTGAGCTCTCCTCAGACAACGTTGGTTGCTATGAAAAAAGGAAAAAATTAGCGTGTTGGGGTGAGGGAATTATCTTTTTTTCTCTTAATCAGCAGGAGTCTGCTTAATTGGGCCTGCCACCTCCTGCTTCCCGCTGCTGGGAGCCAGCGTGCCTTTAAATGATGGATGAGCTCAGCTCCACGAGGAGCTGTGGGGTAACTGGGCTGGGAGTGGGCAGGGATGCTGGGCTGGGAATGCTGGACTCGATCTCTGCTTTGTGGGGCAGCTCTGCCCCAAGGGTGCAGGTTTGGGTGTCCTGGGAGCTGCAGTGCTCCCCATCCCTGAGCTCCTTGTGCTCCCAGTCCCTTCAGTGCCTGCAGCTGGTGGACAGGACCCCCCTGAGGCAGTGGCATCGCTGGTGTCACTGAGGTTCAGTTGGTGCCTGTTCTGTCCTGATAATGCTGAGAGCTGCCCTGGGTGCTGCTGTCAGGGAGCTGCTCCCAGGGGCCAGGGAGGGGTTTGCTCTCTGGGCTCTGCTTGCCCCTGGGCTTGCAGAGTCCATGTGACTGCAGTTAGGGTCACATGCTGTGGGGTGAGCTGGGACAGCCCCAGGATGGTGTGGTGCCTGCCTGTTGGGTTTGTGAGAGCTGGTGCATCCCGTGTGTCCCTGGGATGCAGGGATAGATGTTCTCCCTCCTTCCTCCCGTTCTTGTCTGGCTTCTTGTCTTCCCTGCCTGCTTGCTCTGCCACCTCCTGACCCTGTCTCAGGCTGCAGCTGCTGTAGTGGCCGTTCCTTTTGTTATTCATTTACATTGCTCTAGGAAAGACTTCATTTTCTCTCCATAAGAGCCTCCCTTGCAGGCTCTTTGCCTCTGGAGTGCCTGGAGCATTGCTGCTGGCACTGGAGCTTGGGTACAGAGCTGGAGGGCACCCTGGCTGACAAACAACACTTTTTCCCCTCTGGCCTGTGCTGCTCTGCCTGCTCCCTCTGTGTCCCTGTTTGTCCCTAGCACCCATCCTCTCTGTCTGGAATGCCAGTGGGGGATCCCAGATCCCTGGGGAACGTGGGAGCTGCTGGATGCTGTGCCTGCCTGGCCACAGCGCTTGGTTGAAGCATTTTTGGGACCCCTGTGTCCTCGCTGGCAGGGCTGGGGGGTTGTAGCCTGGCTGGCAGGTGCTGAGAGCAGAGACCAAGAGCCACCCGCTGCCTTCGAGGGCTTCTCCGAAAGGGTCATGGGTGGAAAAGCCTCTGTTTTAGATGTACTCACAGATTTTAGTGGCTTCCCTGGTCCCTGCAGGGATCTCTCAGCTGGTTCAGAGCCTGCTGGGTGCAGTGAGCCCCTCTCCATGGGTGTGGGATGCTCCCTTACCTGCTGGCAGGCAGGGAGCGGCACTCCAGCCCCAGCCCGTGCAGGAAGCAGCTGTTTTCCACTGCCGAGGTGTATTTTTAACCCAGAGTGAATGGGACATTTTTCTGAGCCGGGCAGCTGGGTTTGAGTGAAGAACCACCTGGGCGCCCTTCCTGCCCGGCCCCGGAGCTGCTGCTGCCGGTTTTCCCTGCGGCGTGTCAGCCCCTCACCCGGGCTTGAGGGTCAAATCACGCTGACCCCACGTTATCCCTGGCAGGTGCCCAGCCCGGGGTGCCCCCCCCACCCGCTCCCCCACCCCGTGGGGTGCGTGCCCTCGTCCGCAGGCCTCCTCACGCCGGTGTTCTTGTTTCCCCATCCCTTGTTTTCGCAGCTCCAGTTGCTGTGGTATCCAGGGAGCCCTCCTCCTTCTGCAGGAGATGCACGCTGGTCGTTGCTAAGGTCGCCTCCGCGGTAACATGCACATCCTGTTTACACCTCTATCCGGAGAAGTTGGGCTCGGTTAGAGGCACCTGCTCCCCCCAGGGAAGGGGCCGCACGGAGCGTCCCCCCCAGCTGGACCCTCGAGGCAGCCGCGAGGCGCCGGCACCGGCACCATGACGAACAACGTGGTCGACCACCACCCCGGGAACTCGGTGGCCGAAGGCAACCATGAGGGGGACTTCGGGTGCTCCATGGTGGAGCTCAGGAACCTCATGGAGCTGCGGAGCGCCGAGGCCGTGGCCCGGCTCAACGACTCCTACGGCGGCGTGCACAACGTCTGCAAGCGGCTCAAGACGTCGCCCGTCGAAGGTGAGTGGCCACCTGCCAGGTGGGGTTGTCACCTCTGGGCTGGAGGGTGGTGGCTCCAAGGCGTGTCCCGTGCCCGGTGTCCATCATGGGAGATGCTCCCCAGGTCTCGTAAAAGGAACATTTAAGGCAGAAAAGGAGGAAGGAGAAGGAGAAGCATCGTGGCAGGGGCTTCCCCGAGGCGTGGCCTGGAGCCCCACGTCCCCTGGGAGGATGGAGCGGAGGCGGGGTGAGGTCAGGGGTGAGGAGCTGCTGGGCTGCCAGAGGGGCACGGGGGGCTCATCGCCACAGCCCAGCCGCTGCTCTGCGCCAGCTTCTCCCCTGTTTAATCATTGACAGAGCCAGTGGCAGGGCTGGGGGGTGGGAGGGAGAGTGTGAAGGTTGGATGGTGCTGGGGAGGTGGCTGGAGCTGTTTGAGGCATCTCAGATGAGGGATGGGCAGAACATACCCAGAGGGATGGGGAGAGGCGCCCAGGTCACCCCTGATCGGAGGGGATCGCAAGGGAAAACCTGGTTGGTGCTTCTGGGCATCACAGTTTGGAGTGGTGGTGGCAGTGATGCCTGTGGGTGCCAGCTCACCTCTGGGAGGCTTTGTGGAAGGATATCAGGATGTCACCTCTCCTTCCCACGGGCTGGGCTGGCTTTTGGGGCCCCCCTTATCAGTGAGGCTCCTGGCACTGGGCAGCTGCGGGTGCCTCTGCACAGTGATGGACCCCTTCCCTGGCATTACAGGGGTACCGGGGTGAGAGACCTCCTGGTCACAGCACCGAGGGTTCACCTGGAGCTGGGAGCAGGATGTGGCCCCTGGGTGGCTGTGGGTTGGGGGATGTGGTTCTGCCTCAGCTCTGAAAACTTGTGGGTTATTCTTAGTGCTGAAAGGTGGGGATTAGTGTGTTTCCAGCTGTGAGTGGGACCGGGAAGGGGAGACAATATCGGGATGTCATTAGAGAAGGGGGGGGAGTCCCGGTGGAAATACCAAGTCCAGGTCACAAAACAATGTGTTTGGTCCTGCCAAAGTGGGAACACGCTCCTTTGGGGGCGGGAGGAGAGGGGAGGGGGGAAGCAGACCCAAAAGGCTCTCTGTGGGGCAGTGAAGGGCTGCCCTTCCATCCCAGGTGCTGCTGCTCATCAGTGCTGGATCTCGTGCCCCAGCACATCCCTCCCTCACCCTCTTGCTCTGGAGCTGAGCTTTGCTGCCCGTCCCAAACCCCGTCCTGTTGAGCCCAGAGAGCACAAAAAGGTTATTTCCAACAAGCTGAGATTTTTGGGAAGAGCAAAACCCTGAGGCAGCTCCATCAGATCCCATCGGAGTGGGGACACTGGGTGCATGTCGCAGCTCCCTGAGTGGATGTTTGTGCCCATCCTCGTGTTTGTGCAATGATGGTCAATCCCCAGCATCGGGATGGGGATCTACTGGGATCTGTTGGGACTCTGGCTCTCCCCACAAGAGCTGTCAGTGGACTCCAATCCCTTGGGGCTGCTCCCAGAGAGACTTTGGGATGGAGTGGGGTGTCTCTCTGCCAGGCACTGGCTTTCCACCCCCACACCCCCTGTCCCCCCTGAGCAGGGTGGTGGCTCAGTGAGTCACCCATCGAGTGTCCCTGGTGTCCCCTGGGTGCCCAGTGCCAGCACATACTGCCCTGACTCACCCTCTGGCAGGAGCAGCTCCCGGGGCTGCCGCCTCCTTCCCGATCCAGGGTGAGGATCCTGCGTGGGGGCTCCTTGTGCCAAGGCTTTGCCACCCAACTGCAGCTTTCCTGGGATAATTACGGGGGTTTGTTCTCTGCTGTCACTTTCGGCCTCTACCCAAAATTTCCCACTCAACACCCAATAATTGGACCCTCAGGCCCTGCAGGGGGATTTGCTGCTGCCCCAGGTGTGGCTGCTGCTCTTTGCCACCCTCCCTGTGTCAGCACAGACACTGACCCCCCCCAAATTGCCCCAGGAGGGTGGGGGGCAGCCCGTGGGTGGGATCTGCTTTAGAGGAGCCAAAGCCTGCCCCCTCCCCTGTGCCACGGGAGCGTGCCGTGCCCTCGTGGAGGAGCACGTGTGTGCCCGTGGCACAGCCCTGGCTCCACAGACTCAGCCCACGGCAGTTTAGCCACATTTTCCATCCGTTCGGCCGGAGAGGCTGGGCGGGAGTTGAGGCCGGGAGATCCCAGGATCCTGCTGCCTCGTCAGGGCTGGGTGGGGACAACGGGGCTGCTCTGCCAGCGCGTCCCCTCCCTGCAGCTGGGGTGGAGTCGCAGCGCAAAGGGGGGGTGCCGGGGGAGGGAGGGGTATGGGAATGGGATTCGTCCTGCTGCTTCCTCCTGGTTGGAATGACACGGAGCTGGTGGGGAGGGTGTCCCCTGGGATGACACGGAGTTGGCAGGGTGGTGTCCCCTGGAATGACAGGGAGCTGGCGGGGAGGTGTCCCCTGAGCACAAGGGCTGGGTCCCCCGGGGCAGCATCGCTGCCAGGCTGCTCCAGGCACCGCCGTGTGTCCAGGGCCACTTACGCCGCTTCCCGGTGCATCCCGGGAGCTGGCAGCGACCCCACGGGCCATCTTAAGGTGGAGGAGAAATGGGGGGCTCGGTTAAGGTGGTGCTGGGTGGGGGGGCTGCTCTCGCCTGGGACCCCATCGGCTCTTAGCGGCTGTAATGGGGGGTGGCCGGGGCACTTTGTGTCTCCCACCACAGGCTCGTGGTCTGGGTGGGAGGGCTCTGAAGGGGCTCAGGCTCCCTTTTTGCCCCCATCTGCTCCCCCTCTCTCAGGGGTTGCTCCCAGGCGTGGGGAGCAGCACCCCAGCTCGGGGCTGTCCTGCTCCTTCCCTCTCTCCCACCACCCCGTTCCAGCAGGACCAGCCCATGTCCCCTCCACCAGCTCCGGGCAGGCCCAGCTGGGCCATGGTCGTGGCCGTGGGGCTGAGCTGAGCTCGGAGACGCTCCTGCTGTGCCCGGTCGGTCGCTCTCCGCAGCCGCTGCTCCTCGGAGCTGGCAGGACACAGGGATCAGGTGGCTCCGGCAGCTCCGAGCGCCGCTCCCGGTGCCAGATTTACGGCTAATTTGATGCAGCATGTAAACAAGCTGGCCAGTGCCAACTGGCATCGACTGGCACTGGAGGCTGCAGCACTGGGAGGGTGGCTGGGCGTGCTCGCCCCGGTCCCTGCGTGTCCCCTGCCCCCGTGGGTGACAGGGGCAAAGCCCTGCCTTGGCTCCCTGCTGCTCGCACCCGTGCCCCCTGTGCAGGCAGGGAGCTGCTCCGGGGGTCCTGCTGGGGGCTGTGGGGCAGCAGTGGGGTTTGCCCCCATCCCTGTCTCTCCCCTGTCCAGGCCTGTCCGGGAACCCGACCGACCTGGAGAAGAGGCGGCAGGTCTTCGGCCAGAACTTCATTCCTCCCAAAAAGGCCAAGACGTTCCTGCAGTTAGTGTGGGAGGCACTCCAGGACGTCACGCTGATCATCTTGGAAATCGCAGCCATAATCTCCCTGGGCCTGTCCTTCTACCACCCCCCGGGTGGGGACAATGAACGTGAGTCCCCGGGGTCCCTGTAGTCTGGTGGGGGACTCCTGGGAGCTGCTGTGCCCAGCCCTGTGGGAGCAGGGATTTGGGACAGGTGATGTCTCTGGAAGGTGGTGCAGGTCGAGCTGTATCTGCTCACCCTTTAGGTGGTGGCATCTCCCCATCCTTGGGGTCTTTGGTATGGCCCTCCCCAGGGACCTGCACTGATGGATATCTGGGCACCACGGGCTCAGAGCTGCTCCTTGCTGCTCCCCAAAAGATGCTCCAAATCCTAGGGGTCTATCTGATCCAGTGGCTTCCCACATCCCACAGGGCTTCTTCTTTCCTTTGTGGAGGGAGGGGCAAGGCTGTCTGTCCCCTGGTATGTCCCCCTGCCCAGGGAGTGCTGCGACACCCCATGGGTGGCTGAGGACTGTGCTGGGCAGGTTTCTCCCCCTGGCCCTGGATCTCGGTGTTGCTGGAGGAGTGGAGCAGGCACAGGGCTCTGGAGATGCAGGGAGATGTGAGCCACGGGGAGATGTGACTCACTCGAGGGTCACGCAGCGCAGGGAGGGCTGGGTGCTGCAACTGGAAATAGAAGCCAGTTGTCCCAGCTCAGCCCAACTTCTGCCAGAAAGGAAAAGTGATAAAAGTGGAGGGGGGAGGGGGAAAAAGCAAACCCAGTAAATTCCTCGAGGGATGTAAAAACCCTCTCCTGAGAGCAGGGGAAGCCCAGGCGGCTCAGGGAGGAGGAGGGAGGAGTAACTGTTGTCCAAAAAGCTCAGCTTAGCTCTAGGCAGATATTGGTTGTGCAAATGAGTGTGCCTGGGTGTGCAAATGAGTGTGCCTGGGTGTGCAAATGAGTGTGCCTGGGTGTGCCAACACGTCTGGGTGTGCAAACGAGAGCTCTTGCCCCGAGCAGTGTGCGGGCAGTCGACGGGCGGCGTGGAGGACGAGGGCGAGTCGCAGGCCGGCTGGATCGAGGGGGCAGCCATCCTGTTCTCCGTCATCATCGTGGTGCTGGTGACCGCCTTCAACGACTGGAGCAAGGAGAAGCAGTTCCGGGGCCTCCAGAGCCGCATCGAGCAGGAGCAGAAGTTCACGGTCATCCGCAAGGGGCAGGTGATTCAGATCCCGGTGGCCGAGATCGTGGTGGGAGACATCGCGCAGATCAAGTACGGTGAGTGGGGGGGCTACCCTTCCCCTTGGGGGTGGCTGGGGCGTGTACTCCCCCTCAGGAGCCCAGCAATTCCTCCTCTGCTTCTCCAGCCCTTCTGCCCCCAGGGGAAGTGTTGGCTCCTCCAGGGACTCTCCCTCGCAGCCCCCGTGGTGATGGGAGATGCTCCCGGGGAGGTGACGGAGCTCCACTCACCCTGTCTCTGGCCCTCCTGGAGTTGGCAGAGCTAAGCCAGGCTCTGTGCACAGCTTTGGGCTGCTTTAGTGACCTGCTGGTCTCAAAAATGACTCGTTTTCCCAGCCATGTCCTTGTTGGTGAATATTTCCTTAGTGAGGAGATGCAGCCTTTGGGATAAATTAGGTCCTGCTCCTTGTTTACCAGGGGGAATATTCACCCCATGCAGCTGCTGTCAGGAAGGAGACTGATCCAATATCAAGTTTGTTTTCCTGTGGGGCTTTTTCCCTCCCCAGAGGTTGGAAGGTGGGATCCTGTAATGGTTTGGATGTATCAGGAGCTTTGGGAAGGATCTGGTGTTGATATATTAAAACTGGATGGGGAAGCATTGTCTGATTGAGTAAAATCCTCATTTTTCCATGCATCAGTGAGGGTTTTGGAACTATTGGTTATCATCCTATTGTACCTGTCTGTATTATAAAACCTACCTACTACTTCCCCCAGATTTGGTCTGGGACTGAGTTTTGGGTCCTTTTGAAGCCTCCCCATGGGATGGGGCAGGCAGGGGTGAGCAGTGGCTGCCCAGACCAGGCTGATCCCCTCTTTGCTCCTCTCCCAGGTGATCTCTTGCCAGCGGATGGGATCCTGATCCAGGGCAATGACCTGAAAATAGACGAGAGCTCGCTGACTGGGGAGTCAGACCAAGTCAAGAAATCCATGGACAAAGACCCCATGCTGCTGTCAGGTGAGGGTCCCTGTGGGGTGGGTGCAGGGGTGGGATGCAGAGATGGTCGGTCTTGGGCCCTGGTGTTGTGGAGGTGTCCAAGGCCAGGTTGGACGGGGCTTGGAGCAGCCTGGTGTAGTGGGAGTGTCCCTGCCCATGGCAGGGGGTGGAATGAGATGAGCTTTCAGGTCCCTTCCAACCCAGACCATCCTGTGACTGTGTGAGATGGGAACTGCTGTCCCGCCTGTCTCACCATGACCCTCCTGCTGTGCCAGGTACCCACGTGATGGAGGGCTCTGGCAGGATGGTGGTGACTGCCGTGGGTATCAACTCCCAGACAGGAATCATCTTCACTCTCCTGGGCGCGGGAGAAGGAGACGAGGAGAAGAAAGTGAAGAAAGGTAAGGAGATCCCCTGAACCTGCCTGTTCCCTCCTCTGGCCTCTCTCCCTTCCCTGGGAAGTACCACCAGTGTGCCACAAGCTGCTCCCACACCCGTGGGCTGCAGCTGTGTGTTAGAGCCCGTGGCCCAGGCAGGTATGGTGAGCTCTCGAGGCAGGGGGGTCCCTCCCTGTGCCCCTTCACCCACAGTGTGGGGCTGGTGCTGCCTGAGGAAAGCCCCCCGTGCACCCAGACTCTGCTCCCTGGCTCTTTTGGACACGGCTCCAGCTCTCTCCCTTCTCCAGCCGGATCCAGCCTGGAGCTGTGGGGTGGGGGGAGCGAGGATCAGAGGGAAAGGTGGCCGGCAGTGCTGCCGTACAGTGCTCATTGCTCACCCGTGGGGGAAGGTGAGTCCTGGTTGTCCACAGGGTGTTGGTGGCCCATCCAGAACCTTTGAGGACTTGGCTGAGGATCTCCGCTGGCACTCCCTGAGCTCCCTGGGGAAGGAGACGAGGCAGAGGATGGCAGGAGGGAGAGGAGGGGTTGTGTGCTGGGGTGGGAGAGCAGCCAGGCAGGCTGAGGTGTTCCTGATCGTGCTGGGACTCGAATGCTTTCCTGCTGCTTTATGGCCCTGCTTGGTGCCAGCTCCGGTACCAGCGCTGGGATGAGCCAGGCTTGGGAAGCTCCTGTTCTCCCATGTCCCTGATTCCCTGCTCAGCAGGGTTGGGCTCACTGGGAGCAGCCGAGAGGTACAAGGAGCTGGCAGGAGGGAGCTGCTGGCTGGCACTGCTGGCTGCTCAGGCATCCCTGTGCCAGGGAGCCCTTCCCGGGAGGCGATGCCAGGCGGGGAGAGGCTTCCCGGGCTCTCCTGGCAGCCGTTCCGGCTCGGGGCTGTGTGTGCTGGGTTCCTCCAGCTCTGCCCGCTCCGCCTGCACCCGATGGCAGTGGGACAGGAAGGGACCTGCAGCTGCAGGGGGTCAAGCTCTGCTGTGGGGTTTCTTCTCCTCAAAGGTCTGAGGCACCTCTGGCACCCTCCGAGGCACTGATGGGGTTGTGGTGGGTGCTTCACAGGTGGGGAACTCTGAATCCTTGGGTTTGGGGTGCCTGGGGGAGCCAGGGAGCTCTGGAGCACCCCCAGGGCCATGAGCTGTGGACTGAGGCACACACCGTGTCTGGAGGGTGACCGTGGGCTCTGAGCCCGGGGCATGGATGCCGCTGGAGCGGCCCCTCGGAGCAGGGCCCATCCCAGGCTGCCCCACCAGCCAGATGGTGAGCGTGGGGTCCACGTGCTGAGCCCCCCACCCTTTCTCTCTTTGAACAGGTAAAAAAAGCGGAGCCCCCGAAAACCGCAACAAAGGTAACCAGCCTCTCCATCCTTTGAACCAGCACCACACTAACTACTGAGCATTCCTCCTTCCTTCCTTCCTTCCTTCTTCTCATCAGTCTGTGCTCTCTGCTGCTCCGGCGGGACTCTCGCCTCGTTGTCCTGGCAGAGGGTGCAATGGTCCCGTGGCCGGTGGCCCTGGAGCAGCATCACTGTGATCCCCGGCACCCCAGAGTGGGGCTGTGCATCCTGGGGTGAACCTGACCTGGCTTCCCCCATGGCCACGGTGTCCCTGCGTGGGGAAGAGCCCTTGTGCAAGGAGGACAGGGCTCTTCCAGCAGCCTGGACCTTTGGCAGAGTTCTTGGGACAAACTTCATCCTTGAGCTGCATCAGTGAATTGATGGCTCTGAAGCCCTTGGGCCCATCAGATGCTGTCCCTTCCCAGGGTTTGTGTTTGGACACGGCTAGGGGAGAGATGTAGGTCCCTTCCTGGTGTTCCCAGATGAGACATCCCCCGGGGCCTGGCCAACGTGACGGTTGCACCCTCTCCTCCCATGGCCTCGACTCCGTGAGCGTCTCCTCACCACTGTTTCTCACACTGTTCTTTGCAGGCTGTGGAGGAAGCCCATTTCTGCACCTCTCTCCACCTCTCTCTCTCTCTCTCTCTCTCTTTCTCTCTCCTCTCAGCAGTTTGAGTTTCCCTCCTTCCCGTCAGACTGTGTCCGGGTGCTTGTTCTGTCCGTGTGGGGTCTGTTGTAACGTGGAGGTGTCCGATGTGGAGCTGCTGTGAGCTCCGGGGTGTCTCGAGCCATCGAGCAGCAGCAGCCAGGAGGGGACAGGTCCCGGGGCAGCAATGGGGCCACTGCTGCTCCTCCAGCTCCAACAGCTGAGGAGGAGCCTCTCAGGGGGATTCCCACCCTCTTCCCACCCCTCTCCAGAGCTTCCAGACTTGGGTTTCCCCAGTGCAGACTTTCAGCTGGACTAGAGCAATTGTAGGCACAGGAAGCTTGGCTGTCTCGGGTCCTAAACGCGTGGTGGATGGCTCAGGGCTGGGATTCAAGGAGCTGGTTCCCTCCTCTTCAATCTCCATCCGAATTTCTAACCGTCCCCTCCATCTCACCCCCTCAGTCACTTCCCTGGCGAGTGATCCCTGCTGAGCTGCCCACAGGGCACTGCAGAGGTGGCACTGGGGGGGAGTGGGGATGATCATCAAGGGACTGGGCGGGGACTGGAGCATCTCTGGGTTTGGCACAAAGTGCTCCCAGTCTGCTGCAGGGTTAGGGGCTGGGTGAGTCCAGTCTCCACCCCAAAACCTGGCCAGAGGGTTTCTTGCAGCGCTGCCTTAGAGTTGTGACCGGTGCCAGTGTCACCTCTGAGGATCCCTTATCCATGAGCTAGGGTAGATGACACAAAACTGCCCCATAGGGAGGTGGCAGGGCCCTGGGACACGGAGCTTCCATGTGCTCGGATGCGTGTGTCGTCGGGAATGGTTCTTGGTCTGGGTTTCCTCTCTCTCTCCCACCACCATCTCTCTCAGTGGTGTCCTCCAGGGTTTCCCGGTCTCTCTCCTATTCACACGTGGTGTCTTGTTTTGCCCTTGGGCTGTAGCTAAAACTCAGGATGGTGTGGCCTTAGAAATTCAGCCCCTGAAGAGCCAGGAAGGGGTGGAAAATGAGGAGAAGGAGAAGAAGAAGGTGAAGGTGCCCAAGAAGGAGAAGTCTGTGCTGCAAGGGAAGCTCACGCGCCTGGCAGTGCAGATCGGGAAGGCAGGTGAGTGACGGTGGCCTGGCACGAGCCGCCACCCCAGAGCTGGGGTGGAGAAGGGCTGTCCCTGTCCCCTGTGTCCCCTGCATCCCCTCACTCTGCCTCGTGTGCCCCCAGGGCTGATCATGTCAGCCATCACCGTCATCATCCTGGTGCTGTACTTCGTGATCGACACGTTCGGGGTGCAGAAGCGGCCCTGGCTGGCCGAGTGCACCCCCATCTACATCCAGTACTTCGTCAAGTTCTTCATCATCGGGGTCACCGTGCTGGTGGTGGCCGTGCCCGAGGGGCTCCCGCTGGCCGTCACCATCTCCCTGGCCTACTCCGTGAAGGTGAGGCTGTGGTGCCGTGGGGTCGCTGGGGGCGCGGCGTGGAATTCTGGGCTGCGGGCTCTGACCTTCCCGGCCGTGGTGCCCGTTGCAGAAAATGATGAAGGACAACAACCTCGTGAGGCACCTGGATGCGTGCGAGACCATGGGCAACGCCACCGCCATCTGCTCGGACAAGACGGGCACGCTGACCATGAACCGCATGACCGTGGTGCAGGCCTACGTGGGGGACACCCACTACCGCCAGATCCCCGACCCCGAAGCCATCCTGCCCAAAATCCTGGACCTCATCGTCCACGGCGTCGCCATCAACTCGGCCTACACGTCCAAGATCCTGGTGAGCTGGGGAACCGCCCCCCTCGCGTGTCCTCCGGCCGCCCTGCGGCTCCATCGCCGGGTTTGGCATCGCTTTGTCCCTTCCTTTCCCCTCCGCAGCCGCCCGAGAAGGAAGGGGGGCTGCCCCGGCAGGTGGGGAACAAGACGGAGTGTGCCCTGCTGGGCTTCGTGCTGGACCTCAAGCAGGATTACCAGGCCGTGCGCAACGAGGTGCCCGAGGAGAAGCTCTACAAGGTCTACACCTTCAACTCCGTGCGCAAGTCCATGAGCACCGTGCTGAAGAACAGCGCCGGTGGCTTCCGCATGTACAGCAAGGGGGCCTCCGAGATCATCCTGCGCAAGTAACTGTCCCTCCTCGCCCAGCCCGGGGGTTCTGGGCTCTCGCTGCTCTGGGGGGCTGCTCTGGGGGGCTGCGGGGTGAGGGGTGGAGAGGGGAGGTGACTGTCGGGAGGTGCTGCAGCCCTGCGGAGTGTTTAACTGGTTTTGGATGGCTTTGGGAAGGCTGGGGGGAGCTGTGGGTTGGGGGATGGCCCCGTTTTGCTGTTAGGGGTGACAGGGGAACGTGCCACCAGTGGTGACCCTCGCCTTCCTCCCGGTCCTCAGGTGCACCAAGATCCTGGACAAGAACGGCGACCCCCGGGTGTTCAAGGTGAAGGACCGGGACGAGATGGTGAAGAAGGTGATCGAGCCCATGGCCTGCCACGGGCTGAGGACCATCTGCCTGGCGTTCCGGGACTTCCCTGGGGACGCTGAGCCTGACTGGGACAGCGAGAACGAGATCCTGTCTGACCTGACCTGCATCGCTGTGGTGGGCATAGAGGACCCTGTGCGGCCAGAGGTACTGACCCCGCTCTGCCCCGGCTGTCCTGCACCATTCTGGGACCAGGCACCCCTTTCCCAGCTGTTCAGGACCACGAGCCCCTTAGGGAGCCCAGGCACCTCCTCTGTGTCCACCCTGGAGTGCCCCACACCACCAGCTGCTGGCATTTCCCTCCCATCCCTGGACAAAATGACCTGGTGACAGGGCGTTTCCACCCAAACTTTCCACCCAGCTGCTCCAGGGGTCTGTGCCCAAGCCAGGCTGGTTCCACTTGCGTGAAAGGTGGATGGAAATGCCACAGAGGAGTGATGGGGGTGTTGGAGAAGGACGGGGCTGATGGAACTGGTTTGCCCCTCTCAGCTGCTGTCCCCACGATGGGGGTGCCGAGCAGGCAGTTGGGCTAATGCAATAACCCCCCCATTCCTGCCTCTGGATTCCAATTTGGAGCTTGCCCCCGTGCTCCTGCCTTGCCTGGATCTTTTCCTGATTAGATGTCCAAGCATCTGGCTCTGGGAATTGCATTACAGATGCCCCGTCTGCACTGGCTCTGGAGGCCCTTGATTCAATTTTGCTAATTCCTCACTAATATCCTCTTCCCCCACCGTTCCATAATGGATAAACCCATTAGTGCTGCTGGAGTGGGGCGGGGAGGGGGGTGAAATGCCCCTGTTCTTATGGTGGCCTGGCAGTGCCTCGGCACCCAGCGCCGTGGTGTGACACGGAGGTGGCAGCGAGGTTCCCTTCCCCAGGGCAGTGGGTGCAGAACCCTTGCCAGACCCTTTTAGGGAGGCTGGGAGAGGAGCTGCCTGGCTCCTGGGATACCCAGTGGCAAACTGAGTGCCCTACCTGTGTCCCCCCACAAACCCTGCCCTTCTCCCCCAGGTGCCGGATGCCATCCAGAAGTGCCAGCGTGCGGGCATCACCGTCCGGATGGTGACAGGGGACAACATCAACACTGCCCGTGCCATCGCCACCAAGTGTGGCATCCTGCTGCCAGGGGAGGACTTCCTGTGCCTGGAGGGGAAGGAGTTCAACCGGCTCATCCGCAACGAGAAGGGAGAGGTGGGAGAACAGCCCTGGGCGCTGCTCTGCGGAGGGTGTGGGTGGCCTGAACCCCGGTGGCATTCCCTCCTCTGCTGAGGTGCTCACCCAGCCAGACACAGGGTGCTTGGGGGTGGAGGTGCTGTCCTGTCCCAGCTGGAGTTTGCTCTCTGGTGGGGCAGAATATTCCAGAGGGATCACTTCCCTTCCTCACCTGTTTTTGTCCCTCAGGTGGAACAGGAGCAGCTGGACAAGATCTGGCCCAAGCTGCGGGTGCTCGCCCGCTCCTCCCCCACTGACAAGCACACTCTGGTGAAAGGTGAGCTCATCCTGCTCTTCCCGGCTGCTTTTCCAGCACAATCCACGCTGGGAGCCTGTCCTTGGGGTTCAATTTCTCTGCACTGCTTGTCTCCCTCTCAGGAATTATTGACAGCACCGTTGGTGACCAGAGGCAGGTGGTGGCCGTGACCGGGGACGGGACCAACGATGGCCCAGCCTTGAAGAAAGCAGATGTTGGGTTTGCCATGGTATGGACATGGTGCTGGCAGAGCCCCCAGAGCAGGGACCTGCCCAGTTTATCCCTGCAGTTCTTCACCCCAGCTCCATGCATGCTGCTGGCACTGGCTTTGGGGGCTTATTTACAGTGGAGAGCTCTGATCTCCTGGTTTGCTGCTCTTTTTTGCCCCGTGTGAAAGAAGCAGGAAAACAAACCTGTTGTTTTTAACAGGTTTCCTGTGGATTATTTGAAATTTAGGGATGTGAGTGGGAGCCAGGTGCTGGGTGGAGCCTTGTGAGCTCGTGTAGGGAGCTTTGAACAAGTGAGAAATTTTGGGGGAGTGTTTTTAGGAATGTGTTAGATACCCAAGTGAAAATCTGGAGCCTTTTGGATGAGCAGTAGAAAGTAGGGGACTGTGCCTCTGGAGCTCGTGCCCTTCAACAGCCTGATCTGAGATGGGATGGGATCTGGCAAACCCCAAGAGAATTCCTCTGGGAAAGCACCAGGGGATGGGCTCGTTATGGGTATGGCCTCGGTGCAATTAATTACTGCAAGACGAGCGCCTCGCTGTGCCCGCGGGGGGAATCGCAGCGAGCCCAGCGCCCCAACGGCTCCGTGTCCTTGGAGACGCCGCCGGTGCTTTTTGGGAGGCTGTGGGGCCGCCCTCACCCCTGCTGGGGCAGAAGGCACCGGAATTTCGAGCTGCTGACCTCTCCTTCATTTGGGATGCCAAGCCTTGCTTGCAGCAGCGGTGCCCAGCCTGGGGTGCCCGTGTTCCCTGGCAGGAGGAGGAAGGTGTTTTCCAGCTTTGCTGCACCGTGTACCTGTCTGGGACGTGCACAGGCTGGAAGGCAGGGCTGACTCAGAGCCCTGGGGCTGAGCCAGTGTCTGTCCCTGGAGGCTTTGCTGCCGTGGAGCTCTGCTGTGCTGTTGGTGAACACGGGCTGGCACCGGCTGTGCTGGCTCCCTCGCATTTTCCTTTCGGGGGCTGTTTGTGGGAAGAAGCAGAGCCAGGCAGGCAGGGCAAGCGTGGAGCTCCCCTCGTGACTCACCCCACCGCTTCTCCCTGCCCCCCAAGGGCATTGCAGGCACAGACGTGGCCAAGGAGGCCTCGGACATCATCCTCACCGACGACAACTTCACCAGCATCGTCAAGGCCGTCATGTGGGGCCGCAACGTCTACGACAGCATCTCCAAGTTCCTGCAGTTCCAGCTGACTGTGAATGTTGTGGCCGTCATTGTGGCCTTCACGGGCGCCTGCATCACCCAGGTGAGGGGACAGGACAGGAAACTGGGGGATTTAACAGGCCTTCTGTGGACTGTGAGCACGAGCCAGGTGCTGGGTGGAGCCTTGTAGGGAGCTTTGAGCAAATGAGAAATGTGTCAGGAGCGTTTTTAGGAAGGTGTTAAATATCCTAGTGCAGTCCCGGAGAGGATTTTAGGAGGAGGGAAAAGAGGGTGCTGTCGGTGGTGTGACGTGTTCTCCCCACTCTTCTCTCTGCAGGACTCCCCCCTGAAGGCTGTCCAGATGCTGTGGGTGAACCTGATCATGGACACCTTCGCCTCCTTAGCCCTGGCCACGGAGCCCCCGTCTGAGTCCCTGCTGCTGCGCAAGCCCTACGGCCGCAACAAGCCGCTCATCTCCCGCACCATGATGAAGAACATCCTGGGCCACGCCGTCTACCAGCTCACCATCATCTTCACACTGCTCTTTGCAGGTGAGCTTTGAGCCCCAAGGAATGGCGGGAGGGGAGAAGGGAAAGGGGCAGAGTCCCAGCCCCGCCTGCAATCCACCACCCTTGTTCTCAGCTGTCACTCGGTGACCCCGTGTTGGCCAGGATGGGGCTTGTTTAGTGACGGATGGGAAGCAGAGGGATGATGTGAAGAGGGATTTTTCCACTGGAGACCTCTGGATGCACAGAGAGTTTTAGCTTTTCAACCTTTCCCAGGACATCAGGGTTCAGTGGGGGGTGGCACAGGGGGCTCCAGCTGGGTCAGGGGATCTTGGGTGACCCTGGGATCCTGATTCCACCTGCACCAGCGCAGAGCAGAAGTAAAGAGCAGGGTCTCAGCCTCTCCCCTCTCCCCTTGTGTGCTCAGGGGAGAAGTTCTTTGACATCGACAGTGGCCGGAACGCCCCCCTGCACTCGCCCCCCACCGAGCACTACACCATCGTCTTCAACACCTTCGTCATGATGCAGCTCTTCAACGAGATCAACGCCCGCAAGATCCACGGCGAGAGGAACGTCTTCGAGTCCATCTACCGCAACCCCATCTTCTGCACCGTGGTGCTGGGCACCTTTGCAGCCCAGGTGAGGCCGTGGGGGCGGCGTGGCAGCGAGGGGCTGGGGCCACGGGCAGGACCTGTGTCTGCTGCAGTCACTGCCCACAGCTCTGCTCCGGCCTCCGATTCTTCTGCAGCTGCTTCTTGGTGACACAAACACCTGAACCATCCCTGGCAGTGTTCAAGGCCAGGTTGGATGGAGCTCTGAGCAACCTGGTCTAGTGGAAGGCGTCCCTGCCCGTGGCAGGGGGTTCAAAGTGGATGGTCTTTAAGGTCCCTTTCAAACCAGACCATTCTGTGATTCTATGATTCGGGCTCTAGAGTGTGTTGGGAGGTGCCAGGCAGTGCCTCTGGTGTCCCATAAAGTTCCCAGCCTAGATGTGAGGTCCTTGTTCCCCTTGTAATCCCTGGAAGGAGGGTAAAGCTGTGTGGCCTGAGGGAACCTTCTCATGCCATGGCTGTGCCCTGCAGCCCTTGGAGCTCCCCAGTGTGTGACTCTTCTCTCCTGTGCTGTAGATCATCATTGTGGAGTTTGGTGGGAAGCCCTTCAGCTGCTCTGGGCTCACCCTGAGCCAGTGGTTCTGGTGTATTTTCATTGGAGTTGGGGAGCTCCTGTGGGGCCAGGTAAGAGCCAGTGTCCAAAACCTGCTCCAAGTCCTTCCCTCCCACTGCCCCCCTGCCCTTGTTCTCCCCAGTATTTATTCAAGGCAGCTCTGGAAGGGGGTGATGCTCCATCCCACCCCAGCAGTGAGGAGGGGAGGTTGCTAATCCACTCCTGATGTCTCTGCTTCATCCCACTGTCTCTCAGCTGGGTCCCCTTGGCCTGAGGGCTCCTGCTCCCACGGCCTCAGGCTAAGGAGCTGCTCTCCCTGTCTCTCCCCAGCTGATCTGCACTGTCCCAACCAGCCACCTGAAGTTCCTGAAGGAAGCTGGGCATGGCATCACCAAGGAGGAGATCCCAGAGGAGGAGCTGCCTGAAGACGTGGATGAGATCGACCACGCTGAGATGGAGCTGCGGCGTGGGCAGATCCTGTGGTTCAGGGGTCTCAACAGGATACAGACACAGGTACAGGGGGGCAGCAGGGACTGGGGGGCTCTTCCTTCTCTCCTTCTCTTTCTTTCCCTCCAGGGGATCTTTCTGGAAAGAGGTGACTGCTGCTGCCCAGAGGGGGCCATCACCTCCTGGGCCAGACTTCTCCCACCACCTGTGCCTTTCTGGGTGTGTCCTGGTCAGGGAACCAGGACAGCCTGGCTTTGGGGACGTCTCAGGGTGGGGAGAAGCTGCTCTGATGCAGGGCAGAGAGCCCTGCTGGGCACCTTGTGCAGCAGAGGAGGCTGCTCGGAAGGTGTGTGGGGTCCATGGAGCCCCCCAGGCTCTGTTGTGCAGTGGGTCAGCTCTGGAGCTGCTCTTGGGCACTGCTGGGATGCTGTTCCCAGGGAGGGATATGCCCAGGAGGGCTCATTCTGCACGAGACCCTCTCTGGTCTCGCTCTTTGGCTTCTCTTTTCTTCCTGACAGCCCCTTGGCTGCTGCCACCCCTCTGTGCCAGCTCTCTGTGCTCCTCACCAGGAGCTCTTGGCCCCACAGCACAGAAGGGGAGGAGAATCTCTCTCTTAATATGCTTTTTACATCAGCTGTTTTTCCCTGACTCTCTTTTTTTTCCTGAAAAGGTGGGGTTTTTTTGCCCCAGACTGGGCAGGGCTGAGAGACCTCCCTGCAGTGAGGTCAGAGCCCCTCACCTCTGCTGGAGGCCTGGGCAGAGCTGTCCCGTGGGGGAAAGCTCCATGTCCCAGTATCCTGGCACACAGGGCTGCTGGGCTACCTTTGTGCCTTCTCTCTGTCCCTCTGACAGACAGAGAAAAGCAAAAAGGCCCAGAGACAGGGGCTGGGGCAGCACAGCAGCCGGGCTGTGCCACAGCAACTTTCCTTCTGCTCCGGGAGAGGTTGCCTTGATGCTTTCAAGGTGAAGTTCAGACTTGACTTCCCTGCTCGTTGTGAGCAGTGAGGGGCTCCTTGAGGAGCCTGGGCAGTGCTGGAAACCAGTGGTTCCCTCACATGAAGGATGTGCTGGCAGCTGCAGGCTCTTCTGGGAGCAGTCCAGCTGTGTTGGAGGTCTGGTAGGTGCAAAGGGCTGCAGTGCCAGCAGCCAGGTGAGCCTGGAGCCTCCCAGGATCTCCCTGCAGGTGTGGTGGACCTGGGCTGAGATGAGCCCTGGCTCTTGCAACATGAGAAACACTCCTGGATGCACATCCTGGAGCCTCTTTAGGGATTCCTCTCCTGGCTGGGGTGCCCTTGAGCAGAGCAGGCAGGCCCAGCCTGAGCATCTGGGGGCTTCTGTCCCCACTCAGTGTGTCTGGATGAGAGCACAGGGCTCTTCCCCACAGCCCAGCCTGGGGCACTGGGGAGAAGAGGGGCATCAGACTGGGGCTGGGGACACTCCAGCTGCAAAGTGTCTGGGAAGCCAAGGTGGCACCTGGATCCTGCCTGGTTCCTCTGGCCTCGGAGCACATCCACAGAGCTGTGGCCCCACCACCAAGGATGCTTCTTGCTGCATTCCTGCCCCCTCCAGCTCTGCTCCAGAGCCCTGAGCCTGGGAGAGGGGCTGAAATGCCTCCTGCTGTAGGCACGTGGTGTGTGCCAGGATTCAGCCCCCCCAGCTGAACATGCCACGGGGCTGAGGGACCACCAACCCTTTGCCAGTGCAGTTTTCTGGACCCACCGGCTGCCAGCTCGCACCTCTGCCCACCCTCTCTCTTCCTCTGCTCCTGCTGCAGATTGCCGGGATAACCCAAGGTGTTTCCTCTGTCACTCCCTCCCACCACGGTCTCTCTGGTGGTGGTGGGGTGGCTCCTGCTGCTCTCACTCCCGTGGGAGGGGCAGAGGCTGGCAGGCGACCTCTCTGCTCCCTGGAACACCAGCCCAACACGGTGTGGGCTTACGGGGTGGGGGCTCTCTCCTCCCTCCTCCCCACCTGTCCATCCTCCTTCTTCCTTCCTGTCTGTGTGTGTGTCTGCCCGACCCCCTGCTCCCCTCCCTCCCTGCCCCTGCCCCTGTCCCTGCCCGGGCGACGCTATCTCACTCTCTGGTTCTTTGCAGATGGACGTAGTTTACACATTCCAGACCGGCGCCTCCTCTTTGCAGGGAGCCCTCAGGAGACAGCCTTCCATCGTGAGCCAGCACCACGATGTAAAAAATGTTTCTAGCCCAACCCATGTAGCTCTTTCCTCCGTCAATTCCACTCCCACCACTTCTGCTGTTGCTGCTGCTGCTGCATCTCCTCCTGCGGGCAGTGAGTGATAGTCTATTACAATGCATGACTTCTAATAACCACAGAGAGCACCTGCACCCACCTAACCCAGCCTGTTCTCTCTCCCTCTAAACCTTGACTCGCACACTGGTTCCCAACATGAAGGATGGGGCGGGAAAGCGTTAAAAAAACCCCATGGTTTTGATGCTTTGTTGCACCTTTAACGAGTTGACCTTTCTGGTCGTTTCCCCCCCCAGTCCTTGTTGCTTCCTCCGTTTTTACCTCTTCTCCTCCTTTGCAGGGCTGACGTTTGAGTCCACCCCCCTGAGGGGTGCAGAAATTGGCAGCTCTCGGTTCAAAGAACCTTGTGCTCACGAGCAGCCCAAAGCACTGCTGTGAGAAGGGCCAGCACTGAGCCCAAACCCTGCTGGTTCTTTGCACTGCGGCTCTGCCCGGCCCCAGGAGGGCAAGGGCTGGGCAGAGGCGCTGCTTTCCTGCAGCTGTAAATCTGTTTGGAGGCAGAGTGGCCACTGGGACCTTCCCCCAGTGTGCTGCAGGGCTGGCTGAGCCGTGGGGAGGGCGTGGGAGGAGCAGGATTTGCTCCTGCCGTGGGTGGGGGGTTGGTTGGTTGGATGGGGCCCGTGGACAGCCCTTCCCGTGGCTCAGCTGGCCCGTGGGGACACCCCGGGGCTGCTCACCTGGGTCAGAGCTGGTTTGGAAGCCAGCAGGCTCTGTGCCCCACCTGGGGGCTTGCATGGCATGTGGGACAGGGCTGAGTGTGCCCTGGGCTGCCCTGGGGCTCCGTGGGGGCAGCCAGAGCACCCTCAGCACCCACCTTGTGCTGCACACGCTGGTCCTCAGTGTGTGCAGACACCCCACTGTGCACGCAAACGGCGTGGGAACCACTGATATTTCCAGCGGGAAAGCTGGATCCTGGATCTAGCAGTGGGTTTCCAGGCCAAAATAATCCCTCCCTGGTGCAGAGCCCCTCTCTGTGCCCGTGGCTGGGGCTGGGGAGCACGTGAACGTGAGTTCTCTCTGCGGGCTGTGCCAGGCTGGGAGTAGGTTGTGTGTCTTTCCTGGATAATTGGCTTTTTTACTGCACAGTCACTTTCCGTGTTCTCCTCTTATTAGAGAAATACCCTCGGTGGCTTTCTGAATAGCTTTCAGTCTCCACTGTTTATGCACTGTGGGGGAGGAGAGAGAATTTGGGATAATTTTGTTTTCTCTCTGTTTAGCTGACTCTGGTGCTTGGATTTGATTGTGTTTAACCCCAGTGTTTCTGAAGCAGCACAGCTGCCTCTCTGCTCCCGGCTGCATCTGGGGCTTTCTAATGGAAGAAAACCTGCTTAGGGGGGCTCAGGGTAGTGGGCTGTGGGGGGGGGAACCAAGACCAAAATGCAGGGTTTTTTGCAGTCTGTGTATTAATTTCCTCCCAGATTTTGCAGCAAGGGAATAGATAACCTGGATAGCTCGTGCCCTTCCAGGCAGCAAATCCGCCAGGAGCTAACCCAGGTCTCCAAGTCTTGCCTCTGTTTTCTGCCTGGACCTCTCCATTTCCCTCTGCTGCTTCCCTCTCTCCCAAAGCTCCTCTTCCCTCCACACGGATCCATGGTGTCCCTCTGCCCCCCACTGCACTCCTGTGGATGAGTTCTCCAGGGCTGGACCTCGGCAGCCTTGCTGCTCTGTCCCTCCTGGGGTGGCTGAGAGGGAGGGAATGACCCTCTGGAGATGGTTTGCAGAGCTGGGCTGCTCTCCCTGGGAATTTTTGCCCTGGAGTGAGGGAGCTGGGCAAGGCCAGGGGTCAGCAGTGGAGCTGACTGTGGCCTCGTGCAGAGGATGTAGCTCCCCTCTCCCTGTGAGCAGTGGGGTTTGCCCAGCACGTTGTGGTGCTGCAGGGATGGTGTGACATGGGAGTGAATTCCAAGCCTGGAGGTTGTGTGAAGGTTCCAGGTGGAGAGGAGGCGTGAGCAGGGAGGGAGGTGGGCTTCCAGCTTGGAAGGGGAGGGTTTGGGTTTTGTTTGCGCTGCCTGGCTCATTCAGAACACATTTCCTTGCTGTTCTGTTCCTTTGACAAGGGAACAGCTGAATTCATTTCACAGCAGCTGCTGACTGGAGATGGCTGAAGGAGGAAGATCCGAGCAAAGCTGCAGCAGAAGCTCCTTGGTGGAGCTGCAGGCAATGAGGGGGCAGAGACAGGCTGGGCTTGAGAGCCTGAGGTGGTGGGGCAGGGAGGGCTCGTGGGGAGCTGCTCCTACCTCTGAGCCTTGTACTGGGCTGACCTGACCACCTCGTTGCTTTGGCAGTCCCTGGGCTCTCCTTGGCCTGTTTGAGTTGGTTATGCTTGATTGAGTGCACTCTGCATTTTAGGGGGCAGGGATTGCAGGTGCTGTTCTCAGGATGCTGGTGATGTGACAGATCTGAGAGAGCCTGGGTTGGAGGTGGCCTGTGTGGTCCTGTGCACTCACACTGACTCTACCCAGGCTCTTATTGTGCTGTTAGTGCAGCAAACCCAGCTCTGAATTTCTGTTTCCATCTCCACCAACCCTCCATTTTTGCAGGGCAGCTGGTGCTCCAGCACCAGGGGGTACCTGGCCCACACTCATCTCCTCATCAGTGTCTCCAGCTCACATCTGTGTGCTGTGCCGTGTGTGTGTGTGTGCAAGAGCTGGGGGAAAAGTTGTTTCCAGCCAGGCTGTGCCAGGGGATGTGTCAAGAGATCCCTGTGCCAGGGGATGCCACTCTCAAGGTGCAGCCCCACCATTCTGAGCCAAGTGCAGAGGGGACTCAGAAGGGCTCCTCATTTGCCTCATCAGAAAGGGAGTACCTGGATCATTCTCCCTCCAGCTCTGCCTGTGGCTGAGTGATGGGGAAGCTGTCTGGGATGGAGCACAGGGATGCTGCTCCCCCACCCCTTTTGTGGGAGCTGTGGATCTCCTCCCTTTTGTGCCCCAGCTTCAGTCCATGGGGACACAAGGAGAGCAGGCAGGTGACTGGGATGGGGACTGGGTTCCTGAGGTGCTGGGAGCAGGTGAAGGTGGCTGATGAGCAGCAGTGTTCCTTCCATGGAGCAGAAGATGGAGCAGGATGACTGGCACTGCTCCAGAGAGGTGTTACCGATGCCCTGCTGCTCCCAGTGGGGCTGAACAAGGTCTCACAGTGGTCTGGAGGCATTTCCCTGGGACAGGAGGAGTTGAGCAGATCTCCTGGTCCCAGATGAACTCTGCTTAATGGAGCAAAGGCTTCTGTTGCTTCCGTAAAACTCACGAGACCCTGGATCTGATCCTTGGATCTGACCTAACAACTGCAAGGGAGGGCGAGAGCTGGAAGGGTTCAAGGCTGGATTTCCAGAGGGCCTGGAGGGAGCAGTGAATCCATTGCAAGCCACCATCCAGGCTTGTTTCCAGACCCTTCCAGTGCAGTGGAGGTAGCAGAGCCATTCCCTGGTTGTCCAAACCAGGCTCTGGATCTCCTGCTTGTAACACATTGGCTTTCGGGGGAGCTGCCCCGTGGGTTTCCCAGGAGCATGGCTGGGATTCCGAGCAAAGAGAGCGGTTTTCATGCAGAGCATCCAACAAAATTAGTTGCCTTTGGAAACCAGTGGGTCTTCTTCAGCATGTTGGTGTAGGGAAGGATCCAGAGCTCCAGCTGTGTGGGGAACCACACGCAGATCTGGCTTCCCTCAAGTTTAGCTGGGTTTGCTGATCGTGGCATCCACCTGGACCTGGTGCTTCCCATGGGCTTGAAAAGTTGGTGACACCTTTTTAAAGCCCGTTCCTTTCCGTAGGTCTAGCCATGAACTAGAACAAACACACCCATGGCTCCCACGGTAGAGTGTTTGGAACCCGCTGTTTGTCTAACCCACCTCTTTTTTGAGTCGTAGTTCCACCTTGTTGTCCTCGTCCATCCCCACGAAACGCGTTGTGCACACGTAATGACAACTAATGCATTTTGGCTTCCATCATTCGGAGCGATCTGGGGTGGGAGGGGGGGGGTGTTGAGTCGTTCTGTGTCTTTTCTTGCAGCTTCTGAAGTCGCCCCATAGTCGGTCGATCCCCCCCATCACACACCCCCAGTGCCTGAGTCTGATCCGTGTTGGCCCTCCTAGTTCACCATAGACCTCTCAGTTTGGCCCAGCTGTGTGCTCAGTGGTGGTGACCTTGTTGTCGTGGTTGTGCTTTTCCGTTTTACCGTGTCCTCACTCTTTATTTGGCCTCTCTCCCGGGCGCCCTGGCCCCTCGGAGCCACCACTAACCCTTCTCTTTTGCCCCCCCTCCCCGCGCTCCCGGCAGATCAAAGTGGTGAATGCGTTCCGTAGCTCCTTGTACGAAGGCCTCGAGAAACCCGAATCCAGAAGCTCCATCCATAACTTCATGACTCACCCAGAGTTCATCCTGGAGGAAGACGAGCCTCGAACACCATTCCTTGACGGCGCTGAAGACGACCCCGAGACTGACGGACTCCTGAAGCGCGGTGGGGGGAGCCTGGGTGGGCCTCCAGCCCTGAACAGAAATAACAATGCAGTGGACAGCGATCGAGCTGAGCTCTCCATCCCGGAGCCCGAGAGCCCCTTCCACAGCCTGGAGACATCGGTTTGACCTTAGAACTTGGAACCCCACCTCCTCCTCCTCCTCCTCCTCCTGCACCTCGGCCCCTCGCCCGGTGTGACGTTGGCACCAGTAACTGCTCACACCTCGTGTCAAACTGCTCATACGTATATCATTGGGGTGTTTTTTTCTCGGGGGGGTTGTTTGTTTTTCTTTGTTTTGTTGTTTTGTTTTGTTTTTTTACCATGAGTTAGCAGTGGGAACCAGAGTACCATGACGCTGGGTGTTGGGAGAGAGGCTAAGCCAAACAACTGTGCCATCTCCATCCCTCGTTTTCCGTGGTACTCGCCCAGGTGAAGCAGCCAGGTTCTTTCCTCTCCAAGAGTTGGGCTCCAGGCGTCTGTCTGTTGGGGGGTTTCACTTTGCAAAATGCATGATCAAAGGAAATTCAAGTTGGTGTAGTCTTACATGCCCACCCTCAGCCCGAGGGCTGGGCTGCACTTGTGACTTTTATTTTATTTTATTTTTTTTCCACTTGTGGTTTTTAGGGTTTTCTTCTAACGTTGGGGTTTGTTCTTTGCTCGTGGGATTTGCCCCCAGGAACTCTGCAGTGGGAAGTGGGGGCAGTCAGCACTCTAGTGCTAAAACTAAGAAATAAACAAGCAAACCCAGCCAGGGGAAGGTGTTTACTTACAGGTTGAGAGGTACAGGGATGTGCACCAGTCTTCCACCTTGAAAAATGGTACCTGACCTTTCCAGCTCCTCCTCCGTGTGTCCACACACACTTTTCTCTCTCTGTTTCCAAATTGGTAGATGAGGAATGAAGGTGACTTGGCTGTGACTTTGCTGGATGGAAAAGATTCTGATTTTTCTACAAAGGTGGAGGTGAACTGGCAGTGAAAAAGTGGTGGGGAAAAAACCCCCCAAACCATGGTTGTGAGAGATGTGGCTCCTTCCTGGGAAATCTTAAGAGAGGCCTCTCTGCTGCTCTTGGTCAGGTGTGAAACTCTTGGTGGGAGCTTTGCCAAGGTTTTACTGCTCCTGCCATCGAGAGCAGGGGGATTTCTGCCCATTCTGGCTTTTCTGGGCTGTTGGGTTAAATAATCCTTCAGCCTTGGAGTGGCAGCTCCAGAGAACTGCTGAGGAGCCTCAGAGGATGCTCAAGCTGTGCCCAGGATGCTAAAGCTTTACCAGGCTGAACAGAGAACAAGCATCGGGGCACTGAGAGCACAGTGGGCCAACTCCCGAGTGGTGGAAGGGATGAATTAGGCTGTCTCATTGTCCCATGGAAAGGGGGGAGGCTCCATGGCCAGTGGAGGACCCTTGGCTTCCTGGAGCTGCTTTGCCAGAGGAGGTGGCAGTTGCTTGGTTGTCTGCAGATCTTCCAGAGAAGGTGCTGTTGGAGGCTTGGCCTCACTTGCTGCTTTTTTGAAGGTCATCTCTTCACCCTGTGTCCTGCCTCACCTCCACCTCTTGGAACCATTTAGGGAGAGTCCTGTTTTTTGGAGCAGAGGCCCCGGTTGGCTCTGAACTGCCCCTCTGGTGATCCATGGCCCTGAGCAGGAGGCAGGCTTTGCTTTGCTTGAGTTCCTTCCCCAGGGCTGTGCCCCCTGGGCGGGCAGGGCTGGAGGAAGCTCCGCTGCCTTCCTTCCCTCCTTCACCCCGTTTGGCCTGGTTGGAAGCAGAGAGAACCTGGTTGTGACTGGCTGTACAACATCACCTTTGCCCGGCTCCACCCCTGGGAGCAGTGGGGTTTTAGGGGCAGGGTGGGCTGGGCTGGTTCTTCTTTCCTTTCCTTTCAGAACGCACAGCAGAATCTCCCGTGCCTTCTCCGAGCACTGCCTGCAGCACCTCCTGCCACGCCAGGGCCCAGTACTTTGCCAAGAAATAAGTGTTCCTTAAACCACAACACGAACCAAGTGTCTTTGTTTTGTTCCCAGCCCAGCACCCACCCGTCCCTTCCTTGGGGTGGGAGGAGGGAAGGACGAGGCCGCCCCATCCCTGCCCCAGGTGGCTGAGGAAAGGTCCTCGTCCCACCCCTCGTGCCTCGGGGAAGGGGGAAGGCTGGGTGAAGGCTCTACACTGCCAACAGCCAGAAGAAATTGCCACCACTGCCCATCCCAGTTGCAAATTCAGTGTCACCCCCTGCCCATCGCTGCCCTCCCCGTGTCCCCCTCCCCTCCCCAGGACCCACTGTGGGCAGGACCAGGAGGGGTGCGGGCGGTTCTCGGGTTCAAACGCGAGTTGGCGACAGGAAAGACCGAAAGGGGGGTGGTTGTGGGGTTTGGTTCTGTGCTAAAGGTGACATTGCTTACAAAAAAAAAAAAAAAAAAAAAAAAAATTCACTTTTTTTTTTTTTAAATACTTGCAAAAAAAAAAAAGAAAAAAAAGAAAAAAAAAGGTGAAAATATGGTGTTCTTACAAGCTTACATAAATATTTATTAAATACTTTTTTTGGGGGGGTGGATGCACCGATTTATTTTGTTTTTTTTTTTTCTTTTGATATTTTTTTTAATACCTCAGACCTGTTTGAAAAATAAAAAAAATAAAAAAAAAAAGACTTCAACCAACCAAAAGCCAAGTTTGGAGGCTCTCAAAGTCACTCCCAGAAATCTGTGACTGGCAAGTTGTCACAAGGGTCTGGTCGTTCTTCAGTTGCTCTATTTTTGTCGTTCTAGTTTTCCATATTAGAAGGGAGAGAAATAATTATATATAAATATTATGCAAAAAAAAAATAAATCTAGTTTTCTTTAGATCAGAAACTGATATTTTTACGTCAGCCATATGTATTTTGTTTAAAGAAAAGTAAATAAATAAATCTCGAGTCCCGGCGCGACTGTGTGACGGCAGGTCCAAGGGACAGGTAATTAATTCTGTGGATTAATTAATTCAGCCATCGGATGCCAGTCAGCTTCCTTTTCTCTGAGCAGCCATCTTTCTACTAGACGTTAGTTGGATGACACAAATGGGGTTTTTTTAATATATATATATATATAAATTATGTTGGTATGGCTGGTTGCTTCAAGTATAAGCGTTTCTTGTGCGTACAAATTTCCTGTAAAGTATTTTGGGGTTTTGTTTTGTTTTGTTTTTTTTTAGTTTCAGTGATATACTGGCAGCAGCTGACTCTTAAGGCTTAAGTTATTGAGGACATTGCAAAAGATTTGGGGGAGATTGGTGCTCCAAAAGGCATGGTCGGCGGCACGAACTTTTGGGGACTCTCTGCAACATGCCTTGACTAGGGGGAGATATATATAAATATATATATATATTATTATTAATTTTTTTTTTCTGCTTTGTTTGAACTGCCACGAGTGCACACGGGGACAGTGCCCGACAGGAACCGAAGTCATACCCTATGATCCGTGTTAACTTGCCTTGGAATGCTTTGTTATTAAAACACTCTGAACATAATTTTGCATCCAGTTCTTGATCCCAGGAGGGTCCCTGGTGGTGGATTTTTTCTTTTTTTTCCTGTGGAATAAATTGGCGGATTGGTACCAAAGACATCCCACCACGCCCTGTGTGCATTGCTCACCAGGCAGCTTCTGAGACGTTTGCATTCTGTGCTGAGGTTTCCTTTCTGATTTGCACAGGGGGGTTTTACTTCGTTTTCAAAGGTTTCGTGCAATAAGCTTCGAGGGAAATTTCGGAAACAATCTCAAGAAGGAAAAAAACTAAACCGAATTTTAGCATGGGCGGCCTCTGGCTTTCCCCCCTCCGCGAGGAGTCCTCGGCCCGCAGTGCTCAGCCCCAGCTGCTGGGGGTGGCACGACAGGGTGACTGGAAAAGCCCCGTCCCAAATCCAGGGAGGGCATCTCCGAGTTGCCACGGCCCAGTCCTGCTGCTCTCCGTGGCTGCAGCGACCACACCAAAGCCCCTGGCAGCTTTTGTGGGAGGGCGCCTGTACCTGCATCGCGTCCCACGAGTTCACGGACGTGGATCCCTAAAACACCCCCCCTGCACTCCCAGCTCTCCCCTTGGAGCACAGGGATGTGGGGATGCCTCTCTCCTGCTCCTGCCCCCAACAGAACCACCCAGCCAGGTGGCTTTTGGCCCCTGGTTCTCCCTCTCCAGCATCCTCCCCTTCCCTTGCTGAGCTCTGCTCTCCTCCCACTCCCCAAACCCCCTGGTTTTCATCCAGCAAAGCCCATGGCTAAAACTGCCTTTAGTTTATTTCCTCCCCTTTAATAAATATATATATACAGTATGAAATCAACATTTATGTGTGTGTATATATATTTATCCCGTGCTCTCACAACAAACTTCCCTTCGAAGAGGGCACGCAGAGCCGAGTTTTTCTTTTCCAGTAACTAAGTATAATAAGCACTGGTATTTTTGTATAAAAACAGGAGGAAAAAAAATACAAAACAAAAGACTGAATATTATGTGGTATGCATGACATTAAACAACAACAACAAAAAAAATGGTGGTTTCAAAGCAATATGTACCCTGGTGTGTTTGCCATATCCTAATAGAGTCCAGCTTAAAGTGCACCTGATCTGTATTGCATTTTGATATTAATCTCTATGTACAATGTTTTGCATGTAATTTATATGGTTCTTGGGAGAAAAGAAAAAAAAAAGAAAAAAAAAGAATCTGAATGAATTGTCAGTTGGCTTCTTCTCAGCAAACAGACTCCAAGCAGGGACAATACTCCAAGTGGAAGCAGAGGAGCGGTTGAGGGGTGGGAAAAAGGGGGTGCTTAGTTCAAAACCAGGCGTGCTGGGGGTGGGGATGGTTTGGAATCAATAAAGCTTTGGCTGTTGAGCAGAAACAATGCATCCAGAGAATAAACTGTGCCCACGTGTAACTGTGACCTCCTCCGTGTGTCCAGCAGCTTGTGAAATCAATCCCAGACCCTCTCCCAGTGCTGGAGGAACGGCCGGGCTTCCCATCGGAGCGTGGGAGTGGGGCCTGCGGGGAGGAAGGAGGGATGGGGATCGAAACAGCCCCTGCTGCCACCAGAGCTCCCCTCAGGGTGGGGTTTATCTCCTGCAGTATTTACCCTAAACATAAAAATAATGCTGAAAAAAAGCTTAAAAATAACCCTAACCCTAAAAATAACCCTAACCCTTACCCCTAATCCTAACCTTAACCCTAACCCAACCCTAACCACTAGCCATAACCCACCCAGCCAGGCCCATGGGGGAGCACGGCCGGAAGGATCCCAAGGCTGGGAAAATGGGTTGAAAACTCAAAATATCCTCCAGTTTGGAAGGGATATCCCTGATGCAGCGTGAAAGGGAGGGAGGGGACGGCACCTCAGGCGCTGTGGTCGGGCAGGTGGGCTCTGGAATGGGGGTTGAGCATCATTCTTGGGCATCAGGAGGAATTTCCTCCTGGAAAGGGCTGTCAGGCACTGGAAGGGGTTGCCCAGGGAAGTGGGCAAGGTGTCCAAGGAAGGCCTGGACGTGGCACTCAGTGCCCTGGGCTGGGGAAAAAGGTGGGGACGGGGCACAGGTCGGCCTCGATCCGGGAGGGCTTTTCCAACCTCGCGTTCCGTGGGCACGGGGCTGAGGTGGAGGGGAGGGGACCACAATCCCGACCGCCCCACAGCGAAGGGCTGCGCACCCCTTTTTGGGGCGCTTTTTTGGAAGGTTTGAGGCGCCGGCGGAGATGACGAAGACGCAAAGCCCACAGCGAACCCTCCCCGCCCCGGCGGGCGGGCGGGGCCGGCGGTGAAGCCGTTCCGGCCGCCATCTTGGCGGCGGGCGGGCTGAGGTTGCCGGAGCGCGAGGCGCCATCTTTGAGCCTGGCGCGGGGGGACGGCGGCGGCCCCGGCGGATCGCGGGGACAGCGCGGGGACACGGCGGGGACACGGCGGCCCCCGGGGGCTCGGTAAAGTCCCTGATCGACCATAAATAACAGCCCCCTCGGTAGCCCGCGGCGGCCGGCGGGATGGCCCCTCTGGCCCGTTCCGCGGGGGCCGCAGGCCGCGTCTCCCCGCGCTCTCCCCACAGGGGTGTCCGCGGCCACCGGGGCGGGGGGGGTCGGGGTGAGGTGGGAATGAGGTGGGATGAGGTGGGAATGAGGTGGGATGAGGTTGGGATGGGGCGGGCTCCCTCCCGCAGGGTTTTGGGAGGTGGGAGCTCCGCGCCCGGGTAGGCCCCAGGCCCTTCCCCAGGGTTCCTCCCCCCCTCAAAGCAGCTGCTTCATAATAATCCTTATTTCCAGGTAAAACCTCGTGCCTCCCCTGCCGTAGCAAAGCCTTTGAGGGGCATCTCCAGTGTAGTCATCTAATTGCCCCTCGTTCGGCAGGATCTGAGTAACTCTGGGCGCACCCCGGTTCTTCATTCCTGCTTTTTGGGGCGTTCGAAACGACTCCGTGGTGGGGGGTGTGTGTGTGAGGGGGCTTGTTCGGTTTTTATTTCTTAAAGGATTGGAGCTGAGAGGTTTCTGTTCTCCCCGTTCGTGGTTTTGTTACGGAAGCGCCAAAAGGGATTTTTTTTTTTTTTTCCCCCCTTGCAGTGGAGCCTCCAGGATGTTCCCGGGGATGGAGCTGTGGGCCGCAATTCCACAGTAAAACTGGGAGTTTGGGCTCTCAAAAAGGGAGATCTCCTGGGGACAGGGGGGTTTGGAAGGAAAACAGAACCACGGGCACCCACTGTGGCTGAGCAGGACTGAGTTCAGAAATGGGGAAAGAACAGGAGTGGAGGCAGCAGCTTCCCTGGGGTTGGGGTTGAGAAGGGTTGAAAAGGGGGGTAAGAACACGTAGTTCCTGGTGCTCTTCCTTCCTTGCGCTGGATAAATGAGGGTTTGAAGCATCAGATATTGTTGTCAGGAATTAAAGGCACAAATAGAGCAGCAGGAGAGACTTTTCCAGGGAAACCTTGGGGGTTTAGAACCAAAAATTCCCCCCGGGGAGCTGCAAGAAAGCTGCTCTCAGGTGTTGGTTGAGGTGCAGAAAGGTTTGTTTCCTTCTTGCTCTTCAGTCCAGGACAGAGGCAGATCAGGAAAGTGGGAGATCAGACAGGGAATGGGGTTGGTTCTGCACTACCAAGAGGGAGAAGCTTCTAAAATACACTAAACAGGTTTTCATTCTATTATTTATCTTCCCTTAAAATATGTAAAATTTATATTGCTTTTGGTCATGTTTTTTCCTGACCCTCAGCTACTGTACCTGTAATTATTTTATTTTATTTTTTAGAAAAATGGGTTCAAAATCTCTTACTGCAAACATTTTACTGGAGTTCTGGGGAAAAAAAGTGTTTAAAATTCTCATCAGCTTGGATCAGAGGCCTGCTGAGTGCACCAGAGTTACTCATTTTTATTCATATTTTCTGGGGTGAATTCGCTTGAGTTTTGCACAGCACTCAGATTGCTACTTTAAAGAAAAAAGGTTTTTAATTAACTTTTCTCATAATTAAATTACCTTTATGGGGTTTAGAACTTTAAGGGTTTTTTTTCCATTGGGGTTTTTGGGGTGGGTTTTGTTGATTTTTTTTTTTGTTGTTAATTGTTTTAAAGTTTTGCTTTATTCCCATTCCTTAAACAAGACCCATTCAAATTCTGAACAGGAATATGGAAATACGGAAACCCAGATGTGGAAAATGGAAACTGCTGAGCTGATTTAGTTTAAAGGAACTCCAGCTGAAGGGATTTTTGTTTTTCCCCCCCCCCAAGGTGGTGGATGTAGGAATGTTGAGTTCTAGGTGTGTCTCACTTCCCAAGGAAAGGAAATGCCACCTTCCAGCCTGGGAATTCCTTGTGATTTGTGTTTGAATGTCTTTGCTCAGCCAAGCCGTGGCCCTTCATTACCATCCATTGAAGTGTTGCCTCCTGCAAACCCAAGAATTCGGCCTTGAAATTTTATCTAAAACTCCCCAAAGAAAAAACACTCAGAAAAAATGTGTCTCCTTGAAACCTCCCCACAGAAGGAGCTCCAGGAAGTTTTAGAATTAGATTCCGAGGAATCTGCATGACACAAAGTCTGTTTTTGAAGGTGCTAAAGGTCAGGAGTGAATAATCCCACAGATATGGAAGAAGGGAAGGAAACCCTGCACTTAACTCCTGTTTTTATTCCCTTTATGAAGCAGACAAAAACCAATAACACGTGTGAGAACCCAACTTTTCCTCTCTTTATTTTAGATTTGGGAAAATTCCTTGCCAAAAAAAAAAAGTATCCTGGAAAATTCACTAGTGTTTGTGTGAGTAAAAGATTCCAAGCATTTATTATTGATCTGTAAGAACAATTTCATTCACCTTTGTCCCCAAGAATCCGAAATCCTTTGCCCAGAAATGTGCAGTGAAAGGGGTAAATCACGTTAAATTGAATTTTACCTGGTTTGGTTGCAGGTTTTGTGGCTTTAAAAAAAACAACCCCTAGAATCCTAAAAATCTAATTTTAGAAGAATATTAAAATAAGTGCATGAGTTCACATAAAAAAAAAAGTGCTGTAGCTCAATAAATCAGGTTCTGGTGGCACCAAAAAATCATCAGCTGGGTTGGACCTGAGCCATTTCCAGATGATCTTGCAGCCATGGATGATGATGGATACACGGATTAGGGGACAGCAAATTTGTAGGACGTGATGGAAGACCAAATTATTTCCCCCAAATCCGAGCGCTTTCGCACTCTGGGGTCTCGTGCAGCCACGCCACTCCCACCGTGGGCATTCCCTGCTTCCCGAGGCTTGCTGTGTCCCTGAGCTGCTTCCCCCTTCCTGCTGCCGATGTGTGTGGTGAGGGTTAGAGCCATTCCCGAGGGATGGCCCCCCGTGTGGATGTGTTTGTGCATGGGGGGTGTTCGTGTGCTGCCCCCAAATCCCCCCTCCCAACTCACCCCTGGCAGCGTCACCTCCTCCTCCTCCTATCCAGATACTACGGAGATCTTTCATTTTCCCCCGGTTTTCTCCAGATGAGTGGCTTTGCCTGCACCTTGCTGTGGCAAAGAGCCAGAAATCCTCGTTTTTGCTCTCGCTCTCACTTTGTTCTGCCTTCCTCCGGTGTGTGTGTGTGTATAAACACATCTGTGCATGTGGGTTTATACACACAAATGTGGGGTTTTTCTGTACAGGAAATAAAGGTGGGGGAAGGTTTTTGTGTTTTCTTAATAGGTGAAGAAATCTTGGAAGACCAGAAATTGCAACTTACTGAATGTTAAATTATTAAAAAAAAAAAAAAAAAAAAAATTAGAAATTGCCCGGCTATGGAAGATGGAGCCTCATTTTTGCAGCCACTTTGAATCCCAAGTTCGTCTTTAAATGCGCTGGGGCTTCTTTTGGTGGTTTTTTTGGTGGTTTTTTGGAAGAGCTAAGTAACCCTGGCTGTCTCCAGGCTGGCAGTGTTCCAATGGACTTGCTTCCTCCATTAGTTGTAAGATGTTTAAGAGCACATCCTAAGTTTGAATTGTGGATGAGAGGTTCCCTTGGCAATGTGAGAAGGAAAATTCTTTCTACCCCTTTGTTATTAATTCACGGACTCAAGTGTTGGTTCGGCCTACAGGAGAAGGGAACTGGATGTCTGGGAAGATCAAAGTCTGTGCTGAAGTTGTCCAGGTGTGTGAACCCCAAAATTCACAGGGATTGGAAAAATGCTTAATGTATCTGTTGTATCTGATAGAAATTATTAGTCAATAATTGATTAATCGTGTAGTAGTTCAA